TGAAATGAGCCAAGAACGGGGCCGAGGGGATTCCCGGAGCCACAGATACTCAGATTTATTTTATTTTATTTTTTGGACCAGAGTCCTGACTGAGTCCAGGTGTCTCCCATCGGTCACGTGTGGCTGTTACGGGACGTTCTGATTGGCTGGTGCAGACAGGTGAATGATGAACAGAGCGAAGGAGCCAGAGCTGTGGATTCAGTGGTTTCCATAGCAACATGTGAACGTTTGTTCAGAGATTACTCAGAGTCTGAATGTAGCCGAGGACATCGGCTGTTTTTGCTGCTGTACCATGAAGGGGTGATGATGCTGATGATGCTGAACTGACCCAAATCTAGAGAATCCTGCGGTCCGGAGAGACGAGCGGCGGGGCGGAGCCTCGTCTCCTCTCAGCGTTCTGCTCAGACCAGAGTCTGTGTTTCCGTGTTCGCAGACGATGCGCTCGTCTCCGCTGCCCAATCTCTGGCCCCGCAGTGACGGAGGCGGAGGAAACGCTGTGCTCCCATCATGCTCTGGGGGTGGACTAACCTAAAAACCACGAGCAGAGCCGCACATCTGCAACAGTTGGAGCTCCTCAGAACCAGATGTTTAAATGACGCAGCTGCAGATTCTGTGGTTCTGCCCAAAGTGGAGACAACGAAGGAAAAAGAGCGAAGCTTTAGAGTTTTATGAGCTCCGTTTAAAGTATTTAACAGTAAATACACGACAGCTTCGATACGATGTGGAGCTGGAGCTCGATGGTTTGGAGCCACGTTCAAATGATTCTTCTTCACCGTAGAGAACCACGGTAAAGGGACAGTTCAGTTAATTTTCAGTCCATCTCTTTTACCCTAAGAAGCTCTCAAACAGACTTTGTAGGAAGATCCTTCTGCTCTACAAGTCCTCAGGTCACCAACTCGTGTTCATACAGGCAGGATTCTGTTTCTTAATAAAACAAAAAACACAAAACAAAGAAGCTGCTTCTTCTCCAGGCTCTCTTCCACCTGCTCCTTGTTCTCACGACAGATCACAGCGTCGTCTGCAAACAGACAAATCGCAAGAAACCAAACGAGGAATAAATTGAACAAGTTCCCAGTGGACAGATGAAAACTTTGGAGGGATTACCGTATAAGTCGCAGGTTTTTACATAATTTCATGCCCTGCGACTCGTGCACCAAAGCCACTTCATTAAATATTTTGGACTGAAGCGACTTATGGGGCGCAGCGACGTGTACGGCGGAAAATACGGTAATGTTTATTTGTGGCTCCATTTTGAGTTGTCCTCACTTGTCGGTTTTATTGTGGGACGTCACGGTAACGTTTCAGGATCCTGGGGGTTCACCAACAGGAGTTGTGAACTTTTTGTTTTGGAGTATTTTGGATCGGGAACGAGTCGATCTGCTCACTGGAACCAGAATCTCACTGAGCCGCGACGGCTGGAGACAAACTGCAGGAAGCCTCCGTGGAGGAGTCTCCAGCGCGTCTCAAAACGTTCCCGAAGGGTCGCAACTCCCTCACGGGGCCTCGCTCTCGTGCTGCCGAGTTCGTCGACACGTGTCAAAGAGTCGAGGGCGCCTGGATTTAGGTCCCGAGTCTGAAAGTGAAACTTCAGGAGGGTTTGACGACCACGACTGGAGACAAAAAGAACAAATTGAGATTAAATTGAGACATAATTAAGACACTTTGTGACCAAACTGCTACAGAAAGGATTCACACATCGTTCAGAGTTACGTACGAACACAAACGTTCTCAGTCAGTGAACGTCTCACGATTCTGTCAGAAGATATTAAAATAAAAACCGTCCCCTCCCTCCTGAATCGCTCCAGAACCAGAACAAACGCACCTAAACCTGCTTGTTCACTTCGGTTTGGCTCGTGTGGCTTCACCGGTTATTGAAACAGAAAACTGCTGAACTGGGAACGGGTCCTGGCTGCAGATTTTAATCCAGTAAGCTGTTGTTGCTAAGCAACACTGGCTGCCCGCGAGCGGCGTTCGTCGGCGTCTTCGCCCAGCAACAGGTGGTATTTCAGGCAGGAGGCTCGACCTTCTGCAGGTGTGCGGCTCTGTGGCGGACGAGCCTGTAAATCCTGTAAATACAGAGAAGATTGTACAAATTCTGCTTTTTTATAAAAATTAATAAATATTGTCCTGATGGAATAAAAGAAGAACTGGATGTTAAATATGAATCAATAAAGATGAGTTTTATAAAAAGCTGAGTGGTTTTTGTTTATTTATTTATAGCTCAAGTCTTTTCAGAGACAAAGCAGCTTCAATTTAAAGGCTTTTATTTTGAAAAAACAATCAGACAAACCAAAATGAGTTGATGAACTTTAACTCTTTATTGTTCAGAAATGTTTACATTTATTTTATGATTGTCACAACTGTGTTGCATTTACAGAATGTTTGGCACGGTAGTCTAGGGGTTAGAGTTGTTGCCTCACAGTGAGAAGGTCGCAGGTTCGCCTCCCTCCATGTCTGTGTGGACACCAGCGACCCGGAAGTCGTGGGAAAGAAAATGGATGGATGATGCTAAACGCAGGTTTTCAGCTTGTTGCTGTGGGTGTTTTGCCAAAGCTAAAAGTAACAAAACACTAGCTGAAGGCTAGAAGTAGCAATAGGCTAGCAAAAAACTAATTGTAACAATCGGCTAGCTAATAGCTAAACTAGCAAAACATGAGCTAAAAGCAGCAAAAGGTTAGGTTTTGCTACTTTTAGATGTTTTGCTCCTTGTAGCTAAAAGGAGCAAAACATCTAAAAGTAGCAAAAGATGTACTTTGTAAAATCTAACAAAAGGCTAGCTTAAAGCAACATAATAGAAGCTAAAAGCAGCAGAATACTAGCTAAAAGTAAGAGAGCCAGTCGTTTGCAGGAGAACAGATTAAATCATAACGTTTTTTCTGTGTAGAGAAACATTTTAAATAAAGTTGAGTTTTTAAACAAATTATAGAAAAAACAGAAGTTGTGGAATTTTTCATTGAAAATCTGAGATTTGTTTCAGCTCCTTCAGCTCGTCTTCCCACACGTTCCTGCCTGAAGCAGAAGCTCCTCGTGTTTAGAGGATTACGTAACGTCCAGGACCAGAAGCCAACAGAACCTGGTAGGAGGAGAGGTTCTGTTGAGGTTCTGTTGAGGTTCTGTTGGCTTCATTAATAAAACAGAACCTCCACGTGCTGCTGGTCAGAGCACGCTCCGTGTTGTTCCTGTTTTCTGCAACACTTTACAGATTTTATTAGTTTCACCTCGTAAAACGCTCCGACTTTAAACCAGCCTGTTCAGGAAACAGAGAATAGAAGAAAAAAAAAAAAAAAAACTTTAGGTCCAAAAAACTGGAAGTTGTTGAAACACAAAAAGAAACAAAAACAAAACAACACCAAAAAGATTAAAAAAACTGAAATTAAAAGATAATAAATTAATTAATTCAGTCAAATTGAGAGAATTAGGAAGTGGTTCAGCAAAAAGGCAGTTCCTTCATTTGCTGAAAAAAAAAAGCTGTTAAAGCTGAGAGAAGCAAAACACTAGCTAAAAGGCTAGCTAAAAGCTAAAAATAATCAAAGAACTAAAACCAGCTAAATGCTACATACAAAACATTAACAGAACGGTAATTAAAGCTAAAACATAACCTTAGTTGAAAACAGCGCAAGGCTAATTAGAAGCTAAAAGCAACAAAAGCTAGGCTAGTAGCATAAGGCTAACTAGAAGCTAAAAGCTGCAAAAGCTAGGCTAGTAGCTCAAATCTGAAAAGCCTAGCTGGAAGCTAAAAGTAGTTAAATGCCAACTAAAACTAATAAAACCAGAAACATCTAAAAGTTAAACATAGCCGAATGATAATTAAAGGCAGCAACAAACATTAGCTAAAAGGCAAGCTAAAGGCTAAAAATAATCAAACAACAACTAAAAACAGCTAAATGCTACCTACAAAACATTAACAAAATGGTAATTTAAGCTAAAACAGAAAAACCTTAGCTGAAAACTGCACAATGCTAACTAGAAGCCAACAGCAGTAAAAGCTAAGCTAGTAGCTCAAAGCTGCAAAATGCTAGCTAGAAGCTAAAATTAGCTAAATGCTAACTAGAATACCAAAAAAGTCCATGCTCAATAATCCAGGTATACTAACTAACTAGAATAAATAAAACCAGAAAGATATCTAAAAGTTAAACATAGCCAAATAGTAATTAAAAGCTAAAAGTAGCAACAAACGCTAAGAGGTCCGGGGTTCTCTCCTGGGTTAGTTAGTTAAGGATCATTAACCGTTAGTTAGTTCCTTGACCTGGAGCCACCCCGACCCGCTCCACTGCAGGTTTGATTTGTCCTTCCGGGCGAGGCCTTACGGGTTCTGAATGTTCGGCTCGTGTTGGTGTCGGCCTGTTTCATCTCCACCCCCTCAGCTGAAACAGCCGAATAATGTGATGCAGCTCTGAGCTCGTAAAGTGAGTCTGGGCCGGAACCAGCCTGCTGTTTGTGTTTTACTGGTCTCTATGGTATTACCGGGCCGAGCCCACAAACAGTCCTGAACACAACACGGTTCTGCTGGACATTTAATCCCAGTCTGGAGGAACGTCTCAGCGCAGGTCAGGAGGCAGATTATTAATCTCTGCGTTTAATTCAGACTAATCTGAGCCTGAAGGTGAACGCTGCAGCAGAACCAGACGGTTCTGTTGATTCTGACCCACAAACACCGGAGCGCGCTGAGCCACATGAAGGAACAGACTCATTCAGAACATATAATTTTAGCTACAATTTAGCCACATCAATTCCAATTAAGCTACGTATCATTTTAGCTGATTCAGCCACATATAACTCTAGCTACCATTTAGCCATATATAACTTTGGTTTTAATTTAGCTACAAACTGCTGTTTGGTCATTTAGCCACATTTAACTTTAGCTCCAATTCAGCTACATATGATTTTAGCTAAGATTCGGCCACATATAACTTTTTTCTGCTTCTTAGATTTAAATCTATTACATTTCTTGACAAACTGATTTTGTGTTTGCAGTCAAACTAAAGATACGTCACAGTAAATCAGCTGAAGGTCACTCATTGGCTGCGACGGATCCAGTTACCATAGCGACGGATCATATAAGCCCCGCCCACCCAGCCTCCTGCTTGTGTCAATCAAAGATGCTGCTCTGCGTCCCTCTGCTGGTGAAACTGTTGAACTGCAGCAGTCTGACAGACCTTCAGGAGACCTGGAGAACTTTGGATCGAGACCTCCGAGCGAACTCTAGTTTTAGGACCCTCTGGAGCAGCGTGTCTGCTGGTCTGAGTGAGCGCTTGGGTTTGTAGGGATGCAGCAGGTCAGAAGGTGGTGAGGTCATTCACATTAAAAACACATACCATTATTTTAAATGGAAATGCACAGACGAGCAGCCGGAGGAGATGAAACAGGAGATGAAGGTACAAAAGACCTGATGACCCCATCAGGTCTGAGGGACCCACAACCCCAGATCAAGAACCTGGTTCCGTTGTCATAATTTGTTCTGTGGTTTCCAAAGAGCCAAACTCTTCGTTCAGCAGCTGCAGGAACACTGAACTCACAAGAAATTCTTGTTTCTGCCCGTTTCCCACAGTAACAGAGTCGGAGTGGATTCGAAACATTTAATTCATCTTCACGAACAAATCGAAGATCATCGACGTAAAACGTTTTAAAAAACGCTCCAGAAACGACCAGGAGGCGTCGAAACGTTCAGTCTGAATTCACCTGGTTCAGGTCAGAGTTCTGAAACGAGCTGCGGACTTCAGTCTCTGTCGGGTTTCCTCCACCCGAACCCCCTGGACCGGATCACCTGATGGTGCGGTACATCATGAAGTCGACCGTGGTGCATCGTGGGAACTTTCCGATGGAGCTCTCCTCCACGGGCGTGTAGACTTTGATCTGACGCATGTGGGTGTCTCTGCCGTTCTGGTGGTTGGCCAGAACGGCGATCTGGATCATGAAGGTGCTGATCGGGTCATTGGTTCTCTGCAACACACAGACTCACGTTGGACTGAGACACAACGGGCGGGTCGGAACCACAAGTGGACAAAACGTTAACACGCTGAATAAAGGGAAAAGTAGCAAAAAGCTAAAGTTAGCTGGGTCAAAAGCATGTAAATGTCTAAAGTTAGCCAGAATCAGAAAGTATCAAAAGATCAGCTGAAGGCCTAGCCTTTAGGTATTAAAAGTTAGCTCAAAGCTAAAAGCAACATTAGCTCAACACTAACTGTAGCAACAGACAAGCTAAACGTGTTTAAAGTTAGCTAAAGCTAAATGTCTCAAAAGGTTAGCTAAAGATAAAAAAAGTAGCAAACAGCAACCCTATATTAGCTAAAAGCTAAATGTATCAGAAGCATGCAAACTGTCTAAAGATAGCAAGAAGCTTAAAGTTTCATAATGATAGCTAAAAGCTTCAAATGGTTAGCTAGGAGTAAAAAAAGTTAGCTCAAAGCTAAAAGTGACAAAAAAAAAGAGCTAAAAACCAAGAAGTTGGCGAAAAGCTAAAATTAACAAAACGGCTAAAAACTGACTACCTCAAAAGCCAAGCTAACAGTGTTTAAAGTTAGCTATAAGCTAAAAGTATCAAAGGGCAAGCTAAAAGCTAAAAGTTTCAAAATGTTAGTTCAAAGTAAGAAAAGTTAACAGCTAACTGGACTAATAGGCAAGTTAAACACGTGTGAAGACAGCTAGAAGCTAAACGCGTGTGAAGACAGCTAGAAG